TCGTCAATCCGATCCGTACGCTTTGCATAACAGTCTGCCAAAATATTTTTGTTGAGAAATACTGAAAGTTTTAAAGAGAACTTCGCACTAAAAGTTTTCTCAAATGTGAAGAATACAACCCCCGGGGTACAAAATAACCCCAGGGCGTACGGATAGGGTTCTTAACAATCGCATACTGAGAAAGCACAGTGTTTTATATAATGTTTTCTTGTCAGTGACAATGTAGAGGCATACAAAGGAATCCTCAGATTTAATAGTGCTCCCCAAGGTTGTGTAATCTCCCCTATCTTGTTTACGCTCTACTCCAACGATTGTACTTTTTTAGTTTTAGTACGAGGTTTACGGCACTTGCAACACAATAAGATCATATAAGTGCCGAAGATTAGAGGTGTTACAAGAGAGTAACAAACATAAAAAAGAAGGAGGGGAGATAAAGACGATCGTTATTTGGTAGGAAAGAAGGAGCAAACCACATTCGGAGCACCCGCCAACTACCTACATTGCATTTTTAATGACAAACACATCAAACTGATAAAATGTGTGGATAAATTCCACTCCACAAAGCATTATAACAACAAATGATCATGAATACAGGGACGCTGTAAATGTACTTACACATTGGTGTGATAGCCACTTCCTTTGACTAAATTATGTAAAAAAGACAAAGGAATTAATAATAGACTTAACGAGTAAAAAAGACCAATTGCAACCACTATTTATTAAAGATGAGGAGGTGGAGGTGGTAAGCTCTTACAAATATCTTGGTGTAACAATTGACCACAAACTTGACCGGCATCCACACGCTGTTCCTGTTCATAAAAAAATAAATCAAAGAATGTTTCCCTTAAAAGGATATTAAGATGTTTTCGTGTCGATAATAAGATTATGTCCCTTTTACGCTATTCTGTGATTGAAAGCGTGTTACTATTAATTTGTATTTGCTGATGGGCAGGAGATTGTAGAGTGTAAGATAAAGAAAAATTTGACAGAACCATTGCGAAAGCCAGATCTCTGGATGTGATTTTATTAGAATTGATGAAATATATAAGAACACGAGTATAAAAAATATAAAAAGTATTGTAAACGAGCCACCACACACCCTTTCCACACAAATTGTAAGATCACGCAGAGGTAGATATGTACCTGTAAAAACCAAGAAAGAAAGATACATGTATAAAATACGTTTTTTTACCATCTAGTATAAGGCTATCGTCAGGATAAACATCCATGTGTATTGCTCTTTCGAGTATATGATATATCTATATAACTCTAAAGGTCTTGTAATTAAATTCCTGCATGTGGTTGAATAAGGCATCTGACGTGATATGTACATTTTGTCATCATTACTTTTATTTTCATATTGAATTCTAAGGAAAGTAATATATAATTTATATTTTCACGTATATCTGCATGTGTTTTTACGGTCATGGGATAATAAAGTATTATCTTATCTTATCTAATACTATCTTAATTATTTTTAATTTAAAAAAAAAACAACCTCGCCAAGCTGTTTAACTGCTCTAAAGCCAGAAAGCAACAGTTTTTTTCAGAAGAGGAAAAAAAGATTCAGTCCCTTCTACAACTGTACCTACGTTTTTTAAAAATCATCCGTTGCCCTTTTTTCAACATTTAGAATGTGAATTTCAACCAAACATTTTGCGAGTACATTATTATGTAACCGGTACCACAGATTAAGAAACGTCAGTGAAAAAAAAAAAAAGAATCAAAAGTTTTAGCTCAGTACGCATGAGCAGCTGACTGTCAACGGTTGTTTCTGGGACGTTTGAGTAGACACAGATGTATTGATCATCTTGTGATTGCTGGGGAAACAGATGGCGAAAGAAGCAGAGGCAGACCAAGCAATTTTCTTAAAGTACCTGTCGTGTAGTGCTTAATGAAGCCCACGTGGGACGCTCAATGTTAAAAACAATCAGGAAACGACAAATGCAATTTTTGGGACACTGAATAGACATAAAGGTCTTGAACATCTAGCTCTCACTGACAAAATTGAGGGCAAGCGAGGCAGGGGTAGGCCCAGAACAACATACTTAGGGGACCTACATTTTTGTTACCCGATGTGCACTATATTTTTGGCGGAACGTTATTTATTAAAAACGTTCCACGTCGTCCTTGCTATTGTGCAGTATTATAATATGTTTGAATTTGATTGATTATCATGTATTGATAGAATATTCTGTATCCAAATATGGCGGTCGTTGATGTGGAGATGCCTTGCAAGGATAAGGCAACATTGTTCATTTTGATTTTTGATGAAAATACAAATAAACAAATGTTTGTGCACATCGGAGTGACTCTAGTTATTTATGACAAATGGGTAACAGGGAAAGATCAGGGAAACGTAGCTTTTCTGAGAGCATCCGAGCAAAGGAATGAATGGAAATCCATGAACGCCGATGTCTGTCGCAAATCTGGCACTGGATGATGATGATGACCTGTCGTGTACTTGTGGGTGACGGGGACAGACCAGAATTTCTGAGGGCACCAAAGAAGAGAAACACATGGAGAAACATGATCACCCTTCTCTATTTCACATCTGCACTTGACTTGAGTATGATGATAATGATGATGAAAACGGTGCGCACCTCGTAGCTTCCATTGAATGGTAGCCTGTATCAATATTGTACAACGCCTGTGCTAAAACTCTTGTTGTCTCTACATCGAATGTAGTCTGCTGCCTGACCCCCCGAGTAAGCGGATAACTGTAAGCGTAAGGTACCTTTTCTCAGAACACAAGCCGCCCGCGCTTCCTCTTCTGGCTGAGGCTGGTGAGTACGGCAAAGGTGAGGAAACCCTGGAGCAGGCACGCGTAGAACGTCCAGCTGAATGGTTCTTGGCTCTGGCTCGAGGATTTCTTGTTCCCGCTCGGCTTCTTCCTTCTCTTTTGGTGAGTTACGTTTGCTCGTGGGTGTGTGAGCGGTCTATCTGGATCTGTGAGCGGTCTATCTGGATGTATGGTCTGTCTATCTGGATGTGTGGTCTGTCTATCTGGATGTGTGGTCTGTCTATCTGGATGTGTGGTCTGTCTATCTGGGTTTGAAGTCTGTCTATCTGGATGAGTGGTCTGTCTATCTGGATGAGTGGTCTGTCTGTCTACCTGTCTATCTACCTGTCTATCTGGATGTGTGGTCTGTCTATCTGGGTTTGTGGTCTGTCTATCTGGGTGTGTGGTCTGTCTTTCTGGGTTTGTGGTCTGTCTATCTGGGTTTGTGGTCTGTTTATCTACCTGTCTATCTACCTGTCTATCTGGATGTGTGGTCTGTCTATCTACCTGTCTATCTACCTGTCTATCTGGATGTGTGGTCTGTCTATCTGGGTGTGTGGTCTGTCTATCTGGGTGTGAGATCTGTCTATCTGGATGTGTGGCCTGTCTATCTGGATGTGTGACGGGTCTATCTGGGTGTGTGAGCGGTCTGTTTAGTGATACTGTTTCAACTGGTGTGCCTTTTGTCTCTAACGTGTGTCCTACAGTCGAGGTTTTGTTGACAGTCTGTGCGTGTGATGATGAGTTCTCTCCCTGCGCAAGTCTGCTCATGACATGACCTTGTTGCGACGCCTCTCGGTGACCCTGGCTCTGTCTGTCCGCCATGTTGTCTGCTTGTGTATCTATAAATAGGCCAACACTTGGGGTGGATGACGGTTCCGGTTTCGGTTCCGATTGGAGCTTTGATTTTGATTTCCGGGGTGCCTGTCCCTCCACACGCACATCTGGGAAGTTGTGGGAACAAATCTCCTCACAGGTTTCCAGACATGAACCAAACATGGACACGCGTGAACTTTGTCTCCATTTCAACTTTCCCTGACCGTTGCTGTTCCTTGCCATGTTTTCTCGCCGCACGCGCTTTTTGTCAGCTGACGACTGTGGAAGCGATGACCTGGCCGGTTCTGCCAGGTGGGTGTCTCTGAGTCTGTCTCGAGCATGGCTCGCTGTGTCATCTCCCGTCGCTCTGTGCTGTACCTTAGGCGAGTCTTGTTTTCTTGGGTTCGCTTCACCGCTCAAGGGAACGTTTTGTTGCTTTTCTTCAATATGGCGTAGATTTTCTGCCAGCCTTTTTTCTGTGCTTTCTCTAACTCGCTGCTGCTCATCTGGAAGTCCTGCATTTTGAGAGGTTACAGAGACACTAGTCTCAGGGGTATCTTCTTCTAACGATTTTTCGTGACTCCTTGACTGTATTTTCTGATACACGGATTGTGAAGGATCTTTTCTGACTTCCTCAAAAGAATCATGGCCGAACTCGCGGGCTTTGGTAGGTCTCAAATCGTCTTGGAAAAACTCCCAAAGAAATTCCAAGGACCTCGACAATCCTCTATCCTTCAGCCCTTGACCCTCGAGAACGGTTGGATACTCCGGGTCTATGAAAGCAGGGCAGTACTGGCTGAGCTGTTTTAGATCTAGCGCGGATCCAGCCTCTAGTGTGCTGCACGTTCCTTCAAGTTTCACCCCAAAATGTTGCAGCTGCTTGCCTCTGGTGTTGCATTCACACAGCACTTTTGTGTCAAACGCTGTGAGTCTGTGAACCTGATGTGATTTGACGAAACTCAGGTCTGAAATGTCCGTTCCACTTACATCTAGTTTCAAATTGCGTACGTTCACGAAAAGACCCGAGTCTAACGAGACGATATGTTTATTTCCAGCTAAGTTGAGATCTTCTAAGTCTGGACATCTGTCCAGCGTCCCTGGCTGTACGGCCGAAATAGAGTTCCCCTGGAGGTGGAGGGTCTGGAGTTTGCAACCCTTAGGGAAGTGCCGCTGCTCTAGGGACTGGATCCGGTTCCCGTCTAAATATAGAACCTGGAGCGTCTCGGACATCAGGCCCCTCAAGGATGTCGGGAAATCGGACAAGTGATTGTCGCTGAGGCCAAGCTCCGTGAGGGAGAGACCTCTCACTGCCGTCGCTTCCAGTGACGTCACGCCGGAGTTACGTATGTGGAGAACCTTGAGGGGGGCGTCTCCGGGTGTGTCTGTCAGGGGGCTATGAAGCAAAGCCTTGGCGACCACAGAGCTTGTTTCTATACGAAGCTCTTCCAAGACGCTGGCTTCTGCGAATGTTCTCAGATCTTCTGCTAGGTCGTTTTGAATGGGGTCAAGTTTTACTACCTTGAGAACTCCCCGAGATCGAGCAAAGGCTCGGGGAGATATTTCTAAGATTTTCTCGTTCTTCGAGATCTCCAGTGTTCTCAGCCTCAACGCCACGTGCCAGAAGGAGGTGGCCAGAAGCTGAGAGAGTTTGTTGCCGTTCAGAAAGATGTCCAGTGGAAGGTTACCTTCTTCCAGTACAGAGAAGTCAGGAAGTGACGTCAGCCTTCTGTAGCTGCAGTTGACTGTGACGTCAGAAGGGGCGTGGCGACACGAACACGGCTCAGGACAAAGTAATCGAGCAACTACCAAACAAAAGCCTGCAATTAGCACGGCAAACCTGGCCAAGAATCCCGCCAACATGTTGCTGTAATTTTTGTCGACGTGGCCACAATACGCTGATTTGGTTTTAAGTTTTTAAAACACCTTTTGTCTTCTCTGTACTGAATCAGAGCGTGGATGGGCCCCGTGGTATGATGTTTACTGGCACAAAACACTACCCGTAATTACTCTCCCACTTTGATAGTTTTGTTTGAAAGTGAACTAGAATAATCTGTTGGAACCGATTGCAATATCAATTGGAGTGGTCGATGGTGTCAACAAAATGTTTTTCCACATAATCGAACAAAATCACGCGTCGCAAGGGACCGGTCGGATCAATAAACCTTCACCAGATAGCAGTTTGCTAGTCAGTCCATACATATATCGTCAACATGAGGAGACGTAACTGCAGGCAGGGGGCTGTACTGTTTACCTTCCAGAATTGTTCTGCCATGCTTTGCTACAAGCGGATGGTTAAAGAACGTTTGGAGTACGCCATTGGCCGATATTTTATAACAGCCATCTTGTTTGTGTCATAAATTGTTCTTCATAGTGTTCATAAATTGCTCATCATAGTGTTCTTCATTCTGACAAAAGACAAAAGAACTTCCAGACCTGCTGTCTCACTGTCTGATCATAAAAAAAAATATGGAGTAAAAAAAAAGAAAGCGTGTTTAAATTTCATTTCAGCAAAGTGTTATGATAATGCTCATTATATTATTATGAAGGTAAAAGAAAAGGTCAAACAAGATGGCTGTTACTATAAATATCGGCCCATGGCGTACTCCTAACGTTCTCTGACTAGATATATCTAGATCTAGATCTATCCGCTAGTTGTTTTGTTCTTGTTCCAAAGAGTCGAATAAAATGACGGAGAGTTTTCGCGACAGCTGCATGAACTCGCTGATACATTAGGTCAGGGCAGGACAGAGTGCCAGAATCACAAATGACATACATCTACAATTCCAATTCTCACATTCCGGTTGGCGGGGCAGGCAGAAGAAAGGATTGTCACAAAAGTTCTTTTCCACAGCCCACAGAAATCTTTCCCGCAAAGATAAGGACGCACATTGTTGTGTGTTGTGTTGGTGTCATCGAGGCGCTGCCGCCAGTGAAAGGAAATGTAGGTGCGCACCAGAAAGCACCGTCCGTCACAGTGGGCGAGTTGAACAAGCTCAAACCTCTCTCAGTCAAAGATGGTACATTGGCAGCCCCACTGGCGCATGAGCGATGAATTATAGCTCTCGATAGATAGATGGATTGATAGATCTAGATGGATAGATAGATGGATAAATAGATGGATGTATAGATAGATGGATAGATAGATGGATAGATATATGGATGTATCGACAGATGGATAGATAGTTGATTGGATAGATGGATGGATGGATAGATAGATGGATGGATAGATGGGTGGATAGATGGATGGATAGATGGATGGATAGATGGATGGATAGATGGATGGATAGATGGATGGATAGATGGATGGATTGATGGATAGATAGATAGATATTGCGACAATATATACAATACTTAATCGGTCAATTTTACTGCATCGATCTAGATCATATGCCTATTTAATAATACAAGATGATTCACTCAGCCAAAAAGTATCCACGGAAGTCCGCGCAATGGCTCAGATGGCGCTGCAGTGTTTGTTTTGAAGCTCTCTTTCGTTTCTCCAGAAGAAGAATAGGAATTGCACCCCCTTGCGTGCGCAGATCGACTGCTGTTCTTCAGCTGTTCGGGTTCGTTCAGTGCGGAGTTTTGGTTTTTTAAATGTTACTAACCTCTCACCTCTCATTAATAAGTCAAATTAAACGGAGAAAACATTCGCCTTCTCCTCCGGAAGAGTTTTTTTTGTCAGCGTAACCATTATAAAAAAAGGATTCTTCCGAAATTTGAATTCTCATTCATTCTAAAATTTGGTTGTCTCACTTTGATTTTTTACACCCAAGTAGGGTAACTCTGTTCGCAGAGGGTGCGCATTTGCCAAGAGGGCGCCACCGAATTTTGAGAACACTTTTTTTAATTGGCTAAAAGAGAGGAGTGAACCATCTTGTTATGTAGACTCTCTGCCTGAGTACACCCAAAGATTCTGTATAACAAGATAGTTCACTCTTCTCTTTGAACCAATTAAAAAAGTATCCTCAAAATCTGGTGGCGCCCTCTTCGAAAAAGCGCCCGCTCTGCGAACAGTTATCCTACTTGTGTGGGAAAAAAATCAAAGTGAAACTCACAAGCTTTTGTATGAATTATAACGGAATAACGCCTTTTAAAATGGTTTGACAAAAAAACCTCTTCAGGAGGAAGGGGCGACTGTTTTCTTCGTTTAATTTGGCTATAGAACGAGAGGCGAGAGGTCGTTTAAATAAAACTAGCTAGGCCCCCTTTCGACGAAAGGAATGATCGGTCCATTAATATCAACTGAAATTCATTGGCCTACGATTTTTACACTCTACTTGAATGGAGCAATAAATCTTGAGAGATGCAAAAAAATAGAAGGTCTAGATCTAGATCTATACACTCAAAACAAAATGCGCCTCGCCAAATATCACTTCCACACCGGATTTTCTAAAATTACAGAGAGAGAAGCGTCGGCCTACAAAAGCGAACGGCGAAATAAAGCAATTTAGCTTTTTGCAGCAAAACTGTCTCAAAACTGAAAAAACGAAAGGCGTCATGATCTGGAGAATATCTTAAAGAAAATTTCGGCTAAAACCGCATGTCAATCGATGCAGCCATTAAAAAGCCTTTTGAATAGCAAAATTCGGCCACCACAAATTGATAATAGATAAACCCAAAACGTGCACTTAATTAACGAACCGGAACAGCTGATGCACAAGGGGGCACTATTCCTATTCTTCTTCTGGTCAAGCGGGCTGACCGAGATTTCGGGAGTTTCCAGAAATCTTGACCCACACCAAAAGTGGGCATTTCCCTACATATAGGAGAAGTTTGGTTTTGTTGGTGTGTATTTTTGTTTTGGGTAAAGAGAAAACTCTCCTTGTCTTTTAAAGAAACTGAACAAGGGGCAAAAACTTTACCTTCGATTTTCTCAAACCAGCATTTTTCGACATAGCTCCCTTGTGCTTAAAAGTGACCAAACTATTGTGCCATCAACGAAATTCAGAACCAGAAAACTGGAAAGGTTTGTATTTGATGGCCCCGAGATCTGGCACGTACTGTCGGTTCACAAAAGGGTCGAGATAATCGAGAATATAAAAAATCCTCCCGACTAGGGAATCGATTGG